CTGTAATTATTTGGTCCTTCAGCATTGTTTTCCTATTACATCCATTTAATGTGTTTGTTACCTCAAATAACTTCTGCTCATTTTTTAAAATAATGAGTTGTTTTTTTCTGTTCCATACGCCCACTGTATGTTTTTCTTGGTTATCATTAGACTGTCTTATTTACAGAAGAAAAACTGCATTACTCTAAAGCTTCAAGTACAGACCTACAGTCCTAAGCTTTTAGAATTCCTTCTTTACTCTAGAGCTCCGTCTTCACTGAGAGTTTTTCCAGCAGAAAATATGCTAATGAGAGACTCATTAGCATAGCTGCAATCTCATTAGCATATTTCCTGCCATTTCTTTTTGCTCATGGGGTTTTTGTGCAAAAAAGAAGTAGTGTGGACAGGGTTTTTTTTTTGTTTTGTTTTGTTTTGTATTTTTTGCACAATACCCTCGTTTTGTGCAGATCCTTATGCCTCTCCAGGATAGGAATCAGAATCTTGCGCAAAACGGGGTTTTTGCGCCAAAAAAAAAAAAGTCCACACTGCTTCTTTTTGCGCAAAACCCCCTTGTGCAAAAAGAAATGGCAGAAAATATGCTAATGAGATCTCAACTTATGCTAATGAGTCCCTCATTAGCATATTTTCTGCCAGAAGAATTCGCAGAAAAGACGAAGCCTAAGGGATTTCCTACCTATTGTATTCCTTTTTTAATCTCTTCCTGCATGATGAGAAGAATTTTAAAGAGCAAGCATCATAATTTTGAAAATCTGTTGTTTTAGCAGTAGTCTATTACTACTGCTGAAGTGAACTAAAAATAGTGATAACATTTGCAGCTATGCAAACCATAATTATGGCAGTAATAAAAAAATTCATATTTTAGGATATAAGTTGACCAACTGCTCACATTCTTCATTCAAAATACATACACACGCACACCCCACATGGCATTGCACAACTGATTAAACTGTACTACTCCGCAGTTCTCCTTTCCTTTGAAAAATCCCCAAACTAGATGCACCAGCCGTGGTCTAACCATATGTGGTAAATATTACAGGCTACGTAGTGCACCCCGAATGGCAGTTCTGCTTTCAACTAAAAAAGCGACTATGCACAAAATGAAAATCCCAAAAGAAAACCCCAACATTCCATATTTCTTTTCAGTAATACATAATATACCTTCAAAACATAGAATGCATTAATGTTTCAGTTTTTCTCCCTTTTGTCTAGGCATATTTATGTTTATACAACATATTTGTAGAAATAGATGCTCAGTATCTCCATCCCTTTCCAGAAATTTTAGACAGAAATTAGCATTAAATACATCAGCCAGCTCTTTGATGAGTTTTAAAACTTAACTTTTCACCAAGTATGACTTTGCTACTCTTAGTAGGATACAAAGTCGTTTCTAAAAGCAAAACTGAAAGAACACTACCACACAAAGAGAAAGAGAGGTCACAGTTCTAATTCTTCTTGCTGCACCATCCATTCTCATAGTCTATCCCCTGAGATGAGTAATGTACATTTTACAAAGAAATAACTAGAGAAGTCAGCTCAGATGTTAGGAAAATAACAAAAAGTAGTCATAAAAATTGCCTGAAAATTGCATCAGAAAAGGAACAAAGAGCTACAAGAGATGAAGTAGGTCAAGCACTCACAAATTAGGAAGCACTAGAATTAAGTATGCATGGGTATGCATTTTGATATGGGGTAAAAAAAAATTTAAAAGAATCTACATGACAAGAGTAAGTTCCATTTTCAAAAGTAACTTAGGCACTGAAAAGCCTAAGTCTGATTGAAAGTAAATGAGATTTAGGTTCCGAAGCAACCAAGTTACTTTTGAAAATGGAATAGGAGTTCTGAGAATTTTACCCATGGCACGGACATGATTACATATATTTTCCACCGGGCTCTTCCCTCATCATTGCACAGAATGGACAGTAAATGAGGCAATGTCGTGCAGCAAAGGAAACAGTTGTCTGCAAAACTTCTGCTTTATTTGTAAGCCTCAACTGCAGCAGAAGTTGGAAAGTGGGTAATAAATTAAACAGGTGACTGCAGGCAAAGAAAAAGACAGTCTTGTACTTCGGGCACTGGCTAAGCCCCAGAGAACTGAGTTCTGGCTGTCACACATTTCCTACATGATATCAGACAAGTCATTTATATCAGAACTTTCAGAGCTGGCCACTCTCACTGTATATTTCTTTTTTGAGATGGCAAACTTGATACACTTATGGCAGACAGCAAGAACCAACTTGCAGTACCAACTAATGTTTTACTAGAATGGAAAGGGAAGCTAGAAATGTTGGTGAGAGTTGAGGAACTTACATGTTGCCAGGAATGGTATAGTAAGAGTGACAGATACCGATCTTCTCTCCTGCACTTAAATCTAGTGTAACAACTTTGTAATTAAACTGTCAAGCTTTTGGGTCACAGACGATGGATGAGATTTCTCACACCAGTACTATTAGCAATGACATATTGGAAGCAGTTCAAAGCACGACCATTATCCCTGTTATACTATAACAAAATTTACAGGAGGCGGCTGGAGCACTGGCAGATCACATAGCAGCCACATGTCCTACTGCAAACATCACTGGCCTGAGACCGTTCCTAGCTCTGTCTAGCTCTAGCCTGCTAAGCAAATCACTTCACCTCTCTGTGACCTGGTTTCCCACCTGTAAAATGGGAATAACACTATAAAGTTCTACTGATAAAAAGTACTGTATAAAAGCTAGGTCTTTTAATTATTACCTAGCCACTGTAGCATATCAGCTGTAATCCTAGGTAAGCACAACTTCCTTAATGATCTCTAACTCTGACCAACTAGTACAGGCAGTCCCCGGGTTACGTACAAGATAGGGACTGTAGGTTTGTTCTTAAGTTGAATCTGTATGTAAGTCGGAACTGGCGTCCAGATTCAGCCGCTGCTGAAACTGTCTTTTAATTATTACCTAGCCACTGTAGCATATCAGCTGTAATCCTAGGTAAGCACAACTTCCTTAATGATCTCTAACTCTGACCAACTAGTACAGGCAGTCCCCGGGTTACGTACAAGATAGGGACTGTAGGTTTGTTCTTAAGTTGAATCTGTATGTAAGTCGGAACTGGCGTCCAGATTCAGCCGCTGCTGAAACTGACCGCCAG